AAATACCTACTGATACATAAGTTTCAATACATTGACGGTAATCCAGTTGCTGAGGCGTTTAATAAAATTCATTTTGTCTGTATAACCCATGAAGATCGTAGGAATATATGATGGAGTTGATGGATTCCCCAAGCGATCATAATGCCATGGCATAAGTACACAACTACTTAGGCCAATAACAGGTGCTTTCAATTTCCAGGCAACAGCCATCATGCAATCATTATTGAATTGTTCCAATAAAACAACGTCGAACACTTGATTCGATTTCAAAATATTCTGCACAGCAGTTGAATTGAATGCAACTTCACAAGCATCAATTCCAAGTTGTTGCAAATTAAAGAAATCCATGAAATGTTGGGACCACGAACGATTTTCAAACATCTGAAAATGTAATAAGTTTAAAATTTGGAGATGAAATTTTACACATATGATCATCGCATTTAGTAAAGGCAGTTAATGTTCAAAACGTTTTATATTTTACTTTTTTAAACGACGCCATTAGACGGGACCAAAAAAGTTTTTCATTGAAGTATCTCATTCGATATCATACAGATGGCTTCCATGCAAAAATCAAGTTATTTGTATCGCAAAATTTATATCAGATTCGGTTTTTTCGAACCGAAAAAAAACCAAAAAACAAATCGTGCATACACGTGGATGACACATATATGAGATTGGAGACTTTTTTATGCGAGTCTCGCTAATCAGCGCCATCATACCTGACATCCCTCACAAATGCACATATTTATTATTTATTTTTATTTTAAGTAATATATTTTTCCTTTATAATAATAATATATTTTTTAAATTTGATTTTATTTGAATTTTTGAACAAAACTATATTTTTTTTTTATGATGAAAATGATGAAATATTATTTTTCTCCAACGTCTCCAACCAAATTTACGTAATGTATTTTACGTATTCATGTTTTTGACAAGTCATTTGTCAATTTAGATTTATGACATTTCGTCATTTTTCGCATTTTGAAGTCGCTGTAAATAGCGTTATAAAAATGGTGAGAAATAAATATTAGACTGATATATTTTTTATCAGTAATTTATTCTTTAAGTTTATTTTATCTCTTTATTTTGTTTTTTACCAAAAGCTGTGTATTGTTTTATGTTTGTTTTTAAATATTTTATGTAACCTAACAAATGGGTTGGTGATTTGATTGATATTGAAACAGGACGTTCCAAATTGACAAATGACTTGCCAAAAACATGAATACGTAAAATACATTACGTCAAAAATGTCACAATCTCTCCCATCTCTCCAAGCCAACAGATGGCATTAATGTAAACCATTCGCAATGTGTCTCTTCTTAGAGCCATCTACTTGCGTGCATATTAACTTTTGCTCAGAATTTTTTTTGGTCTTGACAACAAATGCACGTTTTCAATATTGATTATGATTTTAATTACCTTTAAATCAACCGCATTAGTAAGTAAAGTCGTGTTTGTCAATAATAAATCTTTGTAGTTTTCAGGTGCATCGTTGTCTGGAAAATGGCTTAAAACTGTAACTTCATGGCCGGCTTCAGCAAGTGCGCGTAAAATTGGATGAAAAAACCGAAAATGACTTTCACCCGGATGTGGAAAAATGCCAAGAATTCTCAAAGAATTTGACGTCGAAATTGCCAACACCAACACCAACACTATTTGCACCTTCATCTTTACCAATTATATGCAAACTTTGATTTTTGATTTGTATTTTTCTCTGGTCAAATTTGGAATGTTCAACCACAATTAGAAATTTAGAATTTTGAAATACCAACCGCTGTGATACATCAACTTATTCACCTTTCTATTTATTCAGACAAAAATAAACTGAACTTAAAATTGATTCGACAGTTGCTGTTTCTCACGTTGGTTATCAAAGTTATACATGTTATCAGTAGTTAAGCAAGTTAAATAGATAAGCCAGTGTTTTCAACGAAATATCACTAAATTGGGTTTTTTCTTATCATCTTTTGGAATTCGACAATGTAACATTGCCCGAATTATTTTCTAGTAGAGAAGAGAAAGATGAGTGTATGAGTGACTTCAAACGAGCAATTTTCGAACGAAAATATCTAAAAAACAATTATGTTTCATTATGATACTCGACTTAATAGTCCGATGCACGAAGTGTTGAATGATACACATATCAAATAAATGGTAAAATGCAGAAAGAGAGAACTATATGGAAATTTAATTTATCAGAAGAACATCCAGTGGTATTTTTTCGGTATTGCTGCCGGTATTTATTACCAGTGTTTCGAGTAGATTAAAAATCTTGAGATTTTTTAGATAGATTTCTAGATAGATCAAATCTAAATCTGATCTTAGATCAATAAAAAAAGGTATAATAAATCTAATCTATCTGGATCTGGATACAAAAATCTGTATCTAACGAGAGATATCTAAGATTTACAAGCTTAACACCCAAAAGCATTCTTTTCTGATTCGGGTCGAATATGACGTTAGTTTTAAGATGCAATCAATTTTTCACAGACTTTTTCATACAAAAATTTACAAAAAAAAAATATTTTTGTATAGGAGCCATGCCTTGTGGTAGCGTAATGACATGAAACTTTACACAGGTTGTTTTTTCCAGAAGAAAATTACATTCTGAGAGTTTAAAGAAATTTCAATGCATATTAAGGATACCTCCCATACAAAATTTCAGTGATGAGCACATTAGCTGGCTAATTTGCCATCACTGTGTACACCGGCTAACGAATGCGTAAGCCAGCACTAACACACGTCAGGAGAATTGGACGTTTTCACACGCATACTATCATACACAGTCACACAGACAGTGTAGACAGTTAGCTGGCTAACGATTGGTGTACACCAAATGTTGGTATACACCGAGGCTAAGACAACGCTGGCTAACGCAAAACCATCACTGCAAAATTTTCGGTTATGAGCCATATTTTTGATTGAAAATTCTTTTAAATTATTACAAATATGTCAATGGTATTTGAATCTTTCTCTTTTAGAAATTGCTTGTTCAACCTGTTGCACATCGCTTTCACATCAAGTACTACTACTACTAAAAACAATTTAAAAAAATCCAGAGAAACAAATTTCAAAGTTCAAGGCATGTAACATCAATCTGAACAATCAATCGATTATCGCTATCACACACATATTCGTCATGTACAGACTGCCTTACGAGCCAATTGGCATACATATAAAACTGCGCTTTAAGTAGACTTGCTGACGCCGTCACATGCTTCAAAAAAATGTTTCATTGCTTTTTGCGTAAAACTTGCATCGTATGCGTAATAAATACTATGCACTATTTGCTTCTTTAATCAATATTAAACAAATATTCGTGCACCAATGGTTGTGAGTGTGCGTTGTTTGCATATTTGTCGTAGTTACATAATTCTTTTGTTATATTTATCAATGATCGCGTGAATATTCAGATAACGATTTTTTTTTATTTGTTCAAGTTCGTTGTCCAGCTGGTATTAGAGAATACTATTGTTCACGGTTTCATCATATGGATGCAATCTGTGATTTTAGATTGAAAATCGTTTAATCGAAATTTCGTCGCCAGACTATGGGTACAAATACCGTTTTGAATTAAATGACCCGTATGGGTCAAGAATGTTTTAATTGATCGATGCTGACACATAAATTGATTAATCCGCCGCCTAAGCGTTAACGAAAAGCAATCACAATTTTTATATCAATTATCACATGTCCATTTTGGACAGTGAACTGTCAAATGTTTTAATAAAAAATATTGATAATAATTTAGAAAAAGAGTCAACGAACACACATTTAATTTTGTAAATACTGGAGCCAGCCGGAGATAAGACGTGATAATAAATTCTATCAAATAAATAACCAGTGATGGGCACATTAGCTGGCTAATTTGCTACAAATGTATACACTGAGTTGTATGTCACTCATAAATGTCAGTGAGAATCGTACATAGTCACACAGATAGCTGGCTAAGCCAAGGCTAAGACAATGCTGGCTAACGAGAAACCATCACTGTAAATAACCTTTGTCCAAAATCACTCAATCAACAATAACTTGACTTTTTTCGTATTTGGGAATTACCTTTTTATGATCGTTTGACAGCATTGTAAAAACGTCAATCGTTACAAATCATTTGAGTACATCGGTGGAATTTTTTCCTGCTTTGAACCGTGTGCGAGAATTATATCAGTGGAATAAAAAAGAAAGATGAAAAAAAGGAAATATAATGTATTCCAATCGTTCTCGTGCTTATAGTGATTTAAAAGTGCAAAAATCAAACGAAAACATATTTTGCCATATGAGATTTTATTATTATTCAATTTTTTTTTTATTTGTTTCCTATTCTTATTTAGTTAACAGCAACAACTGTTAAAAATCTACTGTTATTTGATATTGATAATCATTTTTTACAACGTTTGTTTTCAACTCTTCGTTTAAAAAATGTTTTTTCCGTTTTTGTAATGCTCCAATCAATAGGATTGTGCGCTGCATTTCCTGCGATTGTTATAGCTGCCTTGAAAAAAGACACACAAAATGCATGTTTTCATTAGGTAGTATTGCTTTTATTTGTGAACCGATTGGATCAATTTTATCTGCCTTTTTATCGGGTGAGTTTTGAAATTCCATAGTTGAATAGCAAAAGTGACTCATAAGAGCCAAAAGCGGCACTTTTTGAGAAAAATACGATTTTTTCCGACTTTTTTCAATTAACAGACCCATTAGGTCGGAAGCGGTCTATGATTCTTGTGAATATTCCAATCGCGATCGCATGGCTGTTGATGTACAATTCAAGCAGTGTGATTGAAATTTTTATCGGAACGTGTTTAATGACTTGGAGTTGATTCGTTCTTTTCTTTCGATTCAATTTGAATTCTCAGTTATCGTTTCAATCATGAATATTTTTCAACATTTGAAAACATATTGATTTCTTTTACTAGGCCTAATGGAAAGTCCGATAATAACATATGTTGGTGAGATTTGGTTAGTATTTAGCTCTAATACCTTCAAACCCAATTGAAATCAAAACTAATTCAATTGAATTTCGAATTCATTTTATTATGCAAAAGAAATCATTTTGTGAAAAAGTTAATCTTCGACAAATTGTGATCCACTCATTCCTACTTTGCCTTACTCACCACTCGTTACCATTTTCAATTGTTTTTTTGTTTGTATTTGTGTTACAAACGGTTGCATCGTTATTTTTGGGCGTTACGCGGTTGTTTAAATTGACAAAGATTCTTACGTTTTATTCAAACCATGTCTCGAATGAGAACTAACTTAAAACATCATACTTTGCAAGCCTTGGCGATTAGTTGCATTAGTTTGTATGTACCAATTTTAACCATTATTGCGCTATGTTTCGTGAGTATTTTCGAACCAAAAAAGAAGATTTTTGAACTAAAATGCATCTTAATATGTAATTATAAGATTCCCGAAAGTCCAGCCTGGCTCCAAAGAATCGAACAGCTGACGCCGAATCTTCGCTCGCCTGGCTCCGTGGCTGGGTCCAAAAAGAAACGGTGCATCAAGAGCTACTTGAACTACAGCGTTATAGTGAACAATCAAAGTCGTGTAGTGCGTGCATCAAATTGGATCAAAAATGTACACATCATCCGACATTTATGGACAAATTGAAGGAATTAAAGCGTAAAAAAACCCTCAAGCCATTCTTCATTGGTAATTTAAATTTTTAATCAATAAAAAAAGATCAAATGAACATTTATAAATGATTTTAAAATTTAAAGTGATGTCGTTGTTTTTCATCGCGGAATTCACCGGTATAACTGGTATGTCCCCATTCATGCAGCAAATCTTCAAAGTACACTTCAATTTAAATGAGACGAAGTTGGAATACTATTGGAAATTCTATTGCAGATCAAGCAGCAGCTATGCAAGGCTTTGTGAACAACCTAGCGAATATTGCATTTTTGTGTTTGATTCGATTCACCGGTGAGTTTTGCGTAAATTCAAAAATTGGATTCGTTTTGATGGTGATTCAATTTTTAGGCAAGCGAAAATTATACATGCCAATGTTGATCATTGTATTTTTATGTTCGGCAACCGTCTCAATATATGGCTTTGTATTTTTCCCAAGCGTCTATAATTCGTTTCATAATGAAGAAGTCGTTTTACAAGCGGATTCAAATTTCCGATACATTCCATTTTTTTGCATTTTTTTCTGCAGTTACTGCGGCGTGAATTCGCTTCCATGGCAAATGTTATCCGAAGTTTATCCTTTCAAGTAAGTTATTCAATCTTTATTGCCTTTATTTTAATTTCTTAATTTTCTCTACTAAAATCTGACAATTCCTTTTTTTAGAGCTCGAGAAGCAGCAGCCGGTTTGTCAGCAACGCTTGATTATTTGATCACTTTTATAAGCACAAAAACATATTATGATCTGGAAATATCATTGTCAATACAAGGAATATCGCTGCTTTATTGCGTTATTGCCGCATTCGAAGTCGTATTGATGTACAAAATTATGCCAGAAACTGAAAATCGAACGCTCGAGGACATTGAATTTCATTTTTCCGACAATTCAAAAAAATTAACCGATCGAAAAATTGCAAAAATTGCATGTTCACCTCGAAACTCGGAAATTGGAGTGGAGAATGGGCTCGAAAATACACAAAACGGCTGTGATAATCGGAGTTTCGTTAAAGATGCTTAAATGGGACTTAAAATTGTATTTTTAAATGTAGACAATTGTTCAAATCGTTCGAAGTGTACAAATAGAGTATTTCGAGGTATTTGTTTATTTTCTTGCTCAATTTTGACGTTTAGACATCGACAATGAGAGTGTAATTTCATTTTTTTAGTGAAATATATTCATTGTATGTGCTTGAATCATTCGTCACAAAAACATTGGTGTTTTATTTTGATGCGATGACTGTTTATGACCTTTTTTGCGACTCTCAAAACAGACAAAACAAAATCAAAGAGATCTTTTGCACTTCAACTGTCTCTCTCCCTCTCCAGAACTGATATGCCTCTTGTCCAGAACCTATTGTGATTGCATTTGAAAATACATCCCAATCGTAACCAGAACAACATCTTCGACTGTCGTGAATGAAAAGAAGAAAAAAAAACTTTGCACAATGACGGAGTAGTGAGAGGAAAAAAATCAACATACGACAACAAATGGAATGACGTGAATTTATTTTGTGCATCATTCAATATGTAAATTATCTGGTTTATTGAAAGAAAACAATCAGAATTCTACGAATTAATAATCGTTACAATTCAATTAAAGCAAAGCGCAACTAGTTCAATACATTGTGATTGACAGTGGATATTTTCCATTCAAATAATGATCACGATGCTCGTGTTTATAATTGACACATTCTTATCATGTTCTACTTGAAAAACAATCAATTACCAAAGACCGTCTAAATCAATTAGAAAATTCAATTACAATGTGCTGAATTGACTCGAAACATTTCCTCAAAGAAGTGTGTAAAAATTGTGATAACGTCCATAGTTTCCAAATTTATGATTTTATTTCTATCTCGTTGAATGTGGCCCTTATCGATGTGAATGGATCATTTAGAATAAAACAACAACACTTTTTGTGATTTTATTTTTTATAATATTTGTTTAAAAAAAACAGTAAAGTAAATAAATTGTTTTTTTTTATGAATTTTTGGCAGGTGAATGAACGTAGGATTTTTTTTTTGTTTGTTTCCGTCTATAAATGAGCGTTAGACTACACAAATATAAATTAAATAATAATGTCTGTCATCGGTTCATTTGGGTGTGATAAGCGTAAAAAAAGTCTTTTGGGTTATCGTTAAATTGTGAATGCCGCGCTCAAGTCAATCGTATATGATGCAAATTGATTACCAACATTGTCAGTGTATACGCTTCAGCTGTGGACAACAGATGTGTTGATACTTCGAATTGAAACTCATTTTCTTCGCAAATAGATCGTTTTTACGTTTACACCCGCAATTTTAGATCGTTCTCGCATTTATGAATTAACGCCTAATTACAAGAAGTTTGAAGAGTAATTTTTTTTTTAAATATCAAGTGCCGTGAGTAAATTATTCTTCGGTCTGTTTGCAACAATGACATTTGAAACGGGTTTGAAACAACCACAAGATGACATATATCGAACGAGACGCATTCTCGCACAGGTATGAATAAGCGTTTGCACACTTTTAAAAGCATTTTCAAAGAAACGTCGTAAAAAGGCTGAATTTTATTGCTTTCCTCAACAAAGTTTGTGTTGTGTTTTTAAAGTGAAAGTGGCCTATTTTTTATTGTTCGATCAGTTGTAGTGGAAATGTACTGCGATAGATAAACATGCAAAGGATTAAAGATTGCATGATGCATGTATTCGTTCCGTGATGTCATGCATGATTCAAAATCAAGAATGATCTCACACAAAACGTTTTGTTGACTTGTTGCATGTTTTCTGTCATAAAATGATGAAAGAAATCTTGTTTAGTCTTTCTTTTTTTCAATGGATTTCGGAAGTAAGAGGTCAATGGTGTTTTTTAACCTTTCGGAAGTGATGAAAAAACAAACCAATTAAATCTTATCAAAAGTCTATTGAAAACAAACATATTTTGATTTAATTTTAATAAAAATTTTCCAATAGATTCTCGCGACAACGGTGAAAGTGATGCTTGTTTTTGAATTTGGTTGTTGCTTTTCATTCTCTACTATACTCTTACCGGCATTGCGACATGAATCTAAAGAGCACAATGCAAACGAAACACTTTCAATTACGGACACACAAGCATCATATTTGGGTAAATACAAATCGACCAGTTAGACAGATGCAAACGGAAGAATAAATCCGATCTCAACCACCAGTCGATTTCGGGATTTTCTTTCGTTAAAAAGCGATTTTTTTAAACTATTTTTAGGTGGGGTTGTTTTCATTTTCGAACCGATTGGATCAATTTTATCAGCATTTATAACTGGTAATCTACATAATTTAAATCCAAAATGATTAACATAATTCTAATCTCGGTCAATTTTTATTATTATTTTCAGATTCACTAGGGCGTAAGCGAGCAATGATGATCGTTACAATTCCGTATGCAATTGCATGGTGAGTTTTTTACATCAATAATTTACAACCATAGGTTCTGACAAGGACATGCAGGACACGTATTACTCCCACCTCGAGCGCCGATTTCATACTATTTGCTTACCCTCGGAAAGGTCTTTTTGGTAGGTTTTTTGCTGAAATGTGAATGTACCCCCGAATTTTTTTCGCCGATTACCCTGCCCTTGGCAAGCCTATGTCAGAACCTTTGTTTACAACTCAATACCATGAAAAAAAAAACTGGAGATTTTTTCAAGGTTTGACTAAATAACTTTCGCAATAACTAAATTTGTTTTTCAAAATCAAAATTTGGTAGGTTCATGATGTACAACGCAGGAAGTGTGGCAGAGATTTTTGTGGCCAATTCGTTGCTGGTATACTTACTTTAAAAATTACTATTCCATTATTGAAGAATGCTATCCATTCTTTCGATTATTTTTCCATTACATCCATTCACGCTCTGCTCGCACTCCATTTAAAGCAATGTATTGGGTTTCGAACACGCAGATGTGCTGCCAGCTGGTATCTCAAAGTTAAGCTGCTATCGGAGAGCAGCACAACTGCAGTGTTCAAAGTGCGATTGCCCATCGCATCCATTACATCCATTTCAAAAAATCACATTTTCAAAATCTATTTAGTATGTAAGAAACTAGTGAGGGTTTGATCACACATATACACACATAAATTAAAAACAATTTGCAAATGAATTGAACGAAGCTGCGTTCGCAAACACTTTGCTGACAAAAATTGAGATTTGCTAGTAGTAGTAGTTCTGTTCTTTCACAACAGAACGCGATTCTCAACACTACTACCAATTCTCAAATTAAAGCAATGTTGTTACAAATGTGTGACGATTTCTTTGCTCTTAAACTATACATATTTGATTTTCATTATATGTTTCCATTACTTCAATTACGTTCCATTCTATATTGATTAATTTCCATTATTTCCATTCTTTTCTTTGTGATTAACCCAATTCATTTTCCATATTCTATTTTTTCTGATATCATTTGTTTTCTCTATCCTTCTTCCAAAAAAGGGATTCGGCATTGGGCTTATGGAAGCACCGATTATGGTAATAAACTTAAATAATCTTACTTGATAACAAGACCATTCTTCTTCATATTCTATTTTTGTATCCATTTTTTTTTAAATCCATGGATCCATGATGTAGACATACGTGGGTGAAATTTGGTGAGTATTTAGTTTTTATCACACTTTTGTGATGTGTATTTTCGCTTTTGGCGCTATCAAATTTGAGCATGTGAATTAAAAATCCACACGATTCTTTATCGGGTCATAAAAATTTAGTCAGTTACCTATTGGACTAAACACAACAAAAGATTCTCATGAACTTCAAAAAGACACAAATTAAGTTCAAGTTTCGCTTATTTCTTCATTCATTTTCTTATCGGATCATTACCATAAAAGGATAATTACTTAATTCAACGAAGTTCATAAAATAAATTAACGTCTTTTTTGTCGAATTTATATCTGTCTTTTTT